GGCTCTATCAGCTGTCCTGTGCTGCTTCGTGGGCACGTGGTGGCTCTTATCTAACACTGATGGTAGTGAGGGCAGTTCTGTGCACATCATCCATGTAATCTGGGGCATCCTTCCAGAGCTAAGTCCTACATAGAGAGGGGGAACAAAGTGGATTTTTAATTTTGCCACAGCAGTAACAGTGAGCTGTTATTTGTTGGATGGGATGAGGCGATGTTGCTTCCTCAGTCTGGACAAGAAGTATTCTTTGCTGTTGCCCTTGGGGTTTATCAGCAAATTTTCTTTCCTGCTCAAATTTAAATTGAATCTTGTTTTCTTCCCTTTGACATTATTGCCAGTTCCAAGGACTGAGTCAAGTGTTGAAGCGATAATAGTGAATTTTTAATCCTCTTTTTATTGAAATTGCATGGGGCATGTGGGGTGCAATGCCATGACAAGTATGGTCTCTGTGTGCCCACAGTCGTTACAATGGTGCTGAACTAACTTGTTCTTTTTGAGGGAATGTTGGTTGTGGCAGATACATGCTTGTGCTCATGCACTTCTAAAGTGGGCTGAGTGAAATTAAGAAACTGGCAGCAAGAACAAGCAAGAAGCCTAAAGGAACTGATGCTGCCAAATGCTGGCATCCATGTCAAGGCTGGTACCAGGGCACAGCTGGGCACACACCGAAGCATATCCAGCACAGGAGATGACTTGCCCATGAAGCTGACTCAGCGGGTCGTGGGCTGCTGTGTGTTTGCTTATCTGATATGGAGTGCTTAGGTCCATCGCCGTGGGATGCAGAGTGCTTGCTTTTCTGGAGAAGCTGGGTTTTGCAGTGAAAAAGTGTAACACTGTGGCATGGGTAAATCTTCTCCTGTTAGACTGTGCTCTGTAAGTGCTCTGTCCCATCAGTTTATGCTTTTGCTGATGTGTTGGAGAGGCTGTGAACTGTTTTTGTATCCTGTTTTTGAGTGCTTGGGGATCTTTCAGTCTGCTCTGTCTTTCTGAGCATAGTAGGAATGCTTAGATTTCATTAATATTAGCTATTTGGGTTTTCAGGCAGGAAAACTACTTGTTATTTTGAAAGTCTTAAAGCACGCAGGTGTCATAATAAATACGTTCTTGTGATAACCAGCATGTCACGTATTGTCACATATTGATTCCCACTAATTGCAGCTCTGCAGAGTCTCAGCTCACGGTGTGAGCCCTGCAGGGCAGGAGAACAGCAGAGAACCAAGGCATCGTGCCTTAGAAGGTTGAACTCTGCTCCTCCTTCCCCATCTTCCCTCTCCAAACCCAGAAGTGCATTTTCCCAAGACATGAAGTGGTTTCTTAAGACTGTACCAGGGATCTGAAGTCGTGGTGTTGGAGCTCAGGGCTCCTGCAGTCCTGCTCTCAGCTTACTGGTGTGCATTGCCCCCTTGTGCACCTTTTTACATGTAGTTGCCCACGTATCTTGCTGCTTCAACTGCTGTGGTATCATTTTACCTGTACTTTTCCATCCAGGGCAAAAATAGCAGGATAAGCATGGTGATGCAGATTGAAGTCTACTGTAATTTTACTGATGCCAGGAGCCTCAAACGTGCCATCTAGTGGTATAAACACAGCACTTCAAATAAAGGGCTCTCCACAAATTCACCCCTCTTGTGCTTCATTACTTCTGAAAAATTCATTTCTTCTGAACAGAGATGAACACTTAATAGTCCTTGCAACCCATCGGTATTTGAAGTGTGTGGAACTGAGCTCTTTGAGGACTTCTTAATCAGGAGGAGCAAGGAATTTTGTGGTCTTACTGTATAAAAAGTACATGCATGCTCAGGAAGTCTGTACCTTCCTTCCAAGAAAACTTTATGCTGGTGTTGCCTTTCCATGGGGGAACTGAGCGGCCTTTGCAAACGAAATAAATCTTAGGGTTAAAATTGTAGGGGGAGAGGGAAGCAAGGATGGAGAGGGAGATAGCAGCAATAATGTGATGAATCATTGCATGATTTCAGAACACCAACAGAGCTCTGTTGTGAGAAGCCTTGCCTTTGCAGATCAATGCTAGGACATTCTGCACTGCAGCTTGAACCTGAACTACTTTCTCTCTGCTAAAGGAGGCTGCGCCAAATTGCAAAAGACTCAGAGATCACTCTGAAAACCTACTTCATCAGCAAAAATAGGCCTTGCAGTGAGGAGTGTTAAAAGGCAGTAGGTTTACACCACAATTTGGCGCATGTGTGCAGTGAATTATGGTCTGAATTAATCTGTCCAGAGTGTTTGTCTTTACTGTTATCTTCAACTTGAGCCCTGGCACAGAATTAAAGTTGTACAGGTTGAAATTTGTGTGCTTGCTGTTCCTAGGATTTTTACCTAGAGGTCATTGTGTCCTTTATTACGGCAAGCATGGAACTTGCCTGCTGTTTGCACTGGATTATATGATCCATCTGTTGTAGCTACCAGAGTAAATCAGGAGAGTAATTCTCTGCTTCTCTCCATACCCCTCAAGTTGTCGTTTTGGAAGTTGCAGTATTGGAATGGAGCCTCTCCTATCAGCTCCTGCAGCTCCTTTGTGCTCAGTGCTTGCATGAAAGCGTGCGAGACCAAATGTGAAAAAATTTCCAGCACTGGAACTGCAAACTGAAGATAATCTGAAAGATGCTTGTAGAAAGAATTAGAGAAGTTAAATGTGTAAAAATACCAAGCGAGCCAAGTGGGAAGAAAACCAAGTTAAGTGCTGGAAGTGCATCTGTCCTAACTTGAGGTCTGCTTATATAGCTTGGATAAAATGCAGGAAGAGGATTAAAAGAAACCAAACCTGGAGTTGAGAGGCATCTTTTTGGCAATCTCTTCCAGAGAAGATTGGAGTGCTGTGCTGTGGTGAGCGCCATTCAGAAAGGTGAGGCTGGGCTCCTTAGTCATCTCATCACCTGAGTGCTTGGGCCAGTCTGTTCCCAGTATACGCATGCTGCCAGCAGTGTTTCTGGCCTTAAATTCACAGCCTGCACACCTCAGGAACCCACGGGAACAGGCCCTTAAACGAGATGAAGTTCAGTTTGCATCTGGTTTAGTCCTTGCGCTGCTGCAGCATGGTGGTACAAAATGGGATGTAGCTAAGGAGAGAAACCATGGTGCTACCCAGGAAGTTCTGTGGAAAGTGCCTGTTTTCATCACTTGAGACTGACTGATTTATTGATAGTGAAGTGGGTACTTTGGCCTTGTTAGCTGTGTCACTGTGTACACCAACTGCATCCGCTCCAGGGAGCAGTGCTTTCCCCCAGCCCGCGTGTAGCAGAGCTGTTTTCCTGATTCCTTCGTGTTCTCTGTGTCTCACTAAGACCACTATAAAACATCATTTGCAAGCTTCCATTTTTGTTTGCAGGCTAAGTGACCCTCCAGGCATGCAGTCTTGCTGCTCCTTCCTGAAGGAAGAAGGCAGTGAGCTCCTGAGTATGACAGGGGTAGCTGGGGCTGTGACTGGGACAAGTGTTTTGTTGGGCTGAGCAAGTCATGTCTGCTGTTAGAGGGGTGAGTTAGGAGGTTAAGGAAACAATGTCTGGGAGAAAAACATGACCTTGTCAACAAAAAGAAAACGCCCAACAATAAAATAAAAGAACAACCTCAAAAAGCAAAAATACAAAACAACAGAAAAAAAAAACCCACCACAGTTGGGAAAGTTTACATCATGCACTTGAAAATTGTTGTCTTTATTTTTATTTTTGACCAAAATTTAAATCAGACTTATGCAAATCATAAAGATACACGCTTCCTGCCTCTCCATGTTTGTTTTTATTAAGAAGTGTGATGTTTTTAAATCAAAAAAGCAGATGCTTCTTATATGTCACCATTCTTTTGGCTGAGAACTGTTAGATTTTATGGCAGGAATTATTTGACTGTACGAATGGGATGTAGCATTTGACTGCAATGCAGGTGTTTATTAATAATATTTAATATGTAGTAGTATAATTCCATTGCACCTACTGCTATACTGGCTTGATTTCATATGAAATAAGTTTCTGCTTCCTTGAAGGCCTTACATAAGTGTTAGCTGGCTACCAATCCATCATGTTCGATTGCAGTGAAGGAGCCGACTGTGAATGGGCTCACAGAAATAGTTGTAAACAGGTTTATATATAGAAACTTGCTGAAGAAACCTTTCCTATGAACTAGTAGGTTTATTATATGCCATGAAGTCTGCTGCAGCCAGTCGTGAGTGGGTGTGTTGTGGTCGAGGCAAGGTCTGAAAGAGAAGAACATCATCTCTGAAATCATTGCATGGAGAAGGAGCTGGGAATCCAATGGCTCTCTGCTTGTGCTGTAACAAGGACATTTGATAAAAAGCCTTGGAATCCTTCAGCATCCTACATGTGCAAATATAGGTGCCACGCATGTTATATTTGGATTTCAGCATTGTTTTGGATCTGTTTCAAGTCTGTCAGCAGCAGCCTTGTGTGGTTTGATCCCTTGCTTTCATCACCTGTGCCCAATTTTAGGTGAGGTGTGACAGCCCCCATCCCTGGTAGTCCCTGCTGGGCACCAAGCTTGGGAACAATAGGAATACAATGGTAAGATGGGCCATGGGAGTTCTGTGCTTCTTAAGTGGGCAGGACCCTCCTTATTCTGGCCAGAGCTCATGGCTGGGGCTCGTGTTTTGAACAAGTATGTATATGTCTGACCAGCAGCACAGGGGCTGTGTTTCCTGATCTTTGTTGCCAGCTCGCATCCTTTGTCGTGTGCTCCCATAAGAGTTTGGGCTAGGTGCGGGACAAAACACGGGAAGGCTCGTGCCTTTGTGGTGGATTTGTAAGGATGATTTGTCATTCAGTGCCTCCCCTCCTTCCTAATGAGCTGAATTGTTAAAATATGTTAATGTCAGTAGACATGCAAGAAAGGGTGAAGCGATATACTGACGTGTTGAATAATTAGATCATCTCCCGCGCAGGGAAGAACTCAAATACAAAACAGGAACAAGAAGTGCCTCTCGCCCTCCCTCTAGAGGCACCAGGTCTGGCTCCTTCAGCATGCAGAAGCAGGTTAGACAATTAAATCTTTAGTATGAATTTCTTTTTATCAAATTCCTGAAGATTTGAAACAAGATGCGTTCTAATGGCTTTTTTGCTCAGCTGTTTGTTTGGTTTTGTTTTTGCAAAGTTGGAGACTTGTTTTGCATGGCTGAATTTGTGAGCAGTGCATTTGTGATGGAACAACACAAAAGTGAGCGTTTCTGGCCTGAATTTGTAAACACTGTCCTGGTTAACCAGGGTTCCTTGCTGAAATCGTAGTGAATTTCATCTTGAGCAGGAATTGGATAAAGAGAGTTTTGTAAAGGCACAGGACATTGCGGATGCCTTCCTGTAGCATTTCATTCTGGTAAAGTAAGAATGCTTTGCATTTCTTAAAAAGTGTATTTCCTTGAAACAGGAGCTGCTTAATAACCTCAGGGATGGCAGCGTGGTGGGAGCTGCTCCTGTGCGGTCTGTCACTGCTCTGGCCCCGCTGCCACGAGCAGGCATGCTCATTTGTGAGGTTTCCTTGTTTGATAAACATAACACTTGGCTTTTGTTCTCTTACTTAATCATTTCCTTCGAAGAGTTAACTTCCTAAGCAGCCACAGATTAGTTCTCTCAGTTGTTTTAATTATTTTTCTTGTCACGCACAGTGCAGGTCCAGTGTTTGTGAAATGTCGTCTTTTATTTTGTCCCCCCTTCCATTGCTGCCTCAACGACGCTGGCACTGCAGGCTGAGCTGTAAGGCTTGCTGGCATCTACTCATTATTACCAAGTTTCACCTCTTTGAATATCGGTGCTACAGAACTGAGTACTTTTCCCTGAGGGTGATGTGAGCACTCCGGTATTTTGTATTTCTGCACTTTAGCACTGGGCTTCCACGTGCTCACTGCTGAGCAATTTCCTTTTGTACTGCTGACAGGTGACTCAAAGCAGGAGGAGCAGATGTCTGCGGCGTCCGCTGGTGTGACTGCAGCCTTAGGAGATGAGTTTTGGAATCCCCATCAAAGTCAGGATTAGGCTCAGGATCCTCCAGCAGCGCCGAGCCCGCCGGGGGAGTGCAGAGGAAGAGGAAACCATTCACAGCGACTCATCGTGTGGTTGGGTGATTCAGGGGTCTGCTGGTGACGGTCACAGAGGCACGTGGCTCGCTGCACCGTCTTTGTCTGCTGTGCAGGATGCAAACGGTCTCCGAACATTAATTCTGCCCTTTTGATTTTTGTCCGGTGAATTATTTCCAGAAAGGAATTACTGTGTTTTCTGGAATGAGTGTTGTGAAATTCTTTTCTTTACAGTGGGCGAGTTTTCAGCTGGTGATTTATCAACCAAGTATTTTACGGGATCGCAGTTAAAGGCTCTTCTATAAAAAAAAAAAAAATACCCGGTGTGATAGGGAAAGTAAAAGTGTCTTGGTTTCCAAATGATGGAGGAATAACCGAAAGAGCGAGTTCTTGGAATAGTAGCTCCATTGGCACTCGTTGGTGATTTCCTGCGCGTTTGCTGAAAGAAGCACTTGGTGATGTGAGTAGGTGGTACTAAAGGGTTATTACGAAACCAATTTCAACCAGACATTTGAGTCATGGATTGGGAAGAAGGAGAGCAGCTTCCAAGCTTTCTCTTTGTTCGAGCTGAGCACATGAGAGGCACAGGCAGGATATTCTGTGTTGGTGTGGAGAAGGATGGAGCAGGAGCTGGTCTGGCATTCGATGATGCTCTCTTCCTCGTGCCACCGTGTGCTGCAGTGGGCAGTGAGGATGTGGGCTGCAGGAGCTGGCAGCAGCACGTAAGGTGCATGCGGAGCACTTCCCTGCCTGTGGCTCGATTTGAAAATGTAAGTAACTGCTCGTGGCTTCTCCAGACGTGAGAGACAAAATGGAGCTGTGTCAGGATGAACGTCTGCGCCAGGGCAAGCTGGTTTGTTGGAGCAGTTTGGTTCTGTTCTGTGAGCAGCTGAGCTGCCACTGGCAGCAGACAGTTGGCTTCTCCATCAGGGAAAAAAAAACAGGGGGTGTTTAAGGGAATTGGTTTGGCTCCTAAACCGAAGGAATTGTTGACCTACTGACTCAGTTATGAAGAATCAGGGAAACGGTCTTATTGTGGTTTCTTTTGTTGGTAGCAGATTCAGAAGACATCTGTGAGCGTACGGGTAGGACTAGCACAGGAGAGGTGCTTCTGGTACCTGCTGCATGCTGCATGGATTTTGTGCCAGGAAGGAGCTGAGGTGCTGACTGCTCAGCAACACCTAAGCTTGATTTCTGATCCTTTTCCTGATAATGCAGTGGTAAGTTTATATACTTCTCATTTTTAGTGCTCAGATGGTATCTTACTAAATGTAATGGAAAGAAATCTCTTCCCAGCTCTGCGAGTATGGCAAGGTGTGTTGATTTTTTTCATGGGAGCAGCTTTCACAGAAAATGCTAGCTGATCTGCTGGAGTGCAGGGATCTGTAAATAAGGGGGCAAGCTTAGGCCATTGGGTTGACAAAATACAATCTGAAATTGCTTTTCCCTCCCAGCTTCCACCTACAAAGCCGTGCTGTGTTGGTGCTAAGCAGAGAGATGGGCCAGCCCTCCATGCCCTAGCTTTGGGATCGTAGCATCCCCGAGCCCCTGCTGCTCCGCTGCTTTCCTGTTGTCTTTGCTGAACAAACAAAGCTTTGGTTTATTTTGAGTTTCATATGAAAATCAGATGTGCGTTACCATGCAGTAAATCCAATGGTACTTTTCCTGAAATATTCCTAGAATAGAAATAATGATATTTTAAGTGGCTTTGTAAATCTTCTGCAAAAAGGCTATCAATTAGTGGTTTCTTAAAAAAAAATAAAATAAAATAAAAGATTAATGTATTGTTGGCTAGAGGGAATCACATTGGCTGCTGGAGCTGTGGCTGGAAGTTGTGCTCCCTGGATCTGCTCGTGACTCTACCACTGTTTTGGGGGTGTTTTGTTGGAGGAGGGTCTTTTGGAGCAAGTCATTATTTATTCCTCAGTTACCCAGTCAGTAAAATGAGGATAGAGATGTTTAACTTACCTTCGGTGCTTCATCAGCATTTATCACTGTGCTTTCCTTCAAAAGAGGAAGCTGTTTTTCTGGTATGTGATACCGTAGCTCTTTGCTTTCCAGAAAATTGTTCTGCATGCATAGATGATAAGAAGATAGGGAAAGCAGAAGAGTGCTTATTTAATTAATCTCGCTGGATGCCGCGTCTCCTCCAGACAGCAGTTGCAGTAAGTGTCGATGCTGTGTGCTCACAGTCCAATGCCAGGAATGCAGAGTGGTGGCTTTCCTGTCCTGGGTGGGTGACATAAGGACGTCTTGCCATTCCCAAGCCATCGAGGCGTGAGTTGTAGGACGGCGCTCAGGAAATATTCCTCCCCCCCCTTTTCTGCAGTGGCAACTTGCACAGCATCTCCCTGCAGAGCTGGGAATAAACCCAGCAGTTAAATAAAAAGGGAAAAAAAAAAAAAAATACCAACAGAAGGGAAGGTTTAGCATTGTGCTGGATTTCCTTTCCTTAAGTGCTTCCTTTGGACCGCGGGAGAGGAGCTTACGTGCGTGGCGAGTTTCTAGTGAGCAGTTGTACTGAACGGAGTGGGAGGCAGGGTCAGGGAAGAGTCACTTGGTTGTTATGTGGGTGTGAAAAGCCCATGAAAGGGAAAGGCGGGGGAAAATATTTTACTTGAATTAAAACAAATAAAAGGGAACGTTACGTGAATTAAATATTTGAAGGTAGGTTTCTGCCAAGTATTTTTGTGAATTAATGCGTATCTTCTGGAAAGCATTTGTTTAGCAATAAGCTTATCAAAGTGCTCTCAGGAGGGACTGTATGTTAAAAAAAAAAGAAATCCCTGTTTTCTTATCACTTCAGATAGAGAGAAAGGAAGTTGTGGATCTTTATAGCCCTTGAACTGTTAATTGTTAAACGTAAATTGAAGCAGCAGATCAAATTTCTTCAGGTTCACGTTGGAGCGGTTTCATTTACTAAGAAATTGCAGGCAGGACCCTTTTAAGGAGAAGCAATTTTAGATTCTCAGGTGGTTGCTGTGTGCCCACCTGTATGACAGGAGGACTGCTGCTCTCTGAAACCCTCTGCTTTTGGGGAGCAGGCCCTTACTGTCTGCTCACTGCTGCAGATGGTGCACACCCAAAAATAATGGAAAATGTGATCTTGTATTCTGAATGCTGCTGGTTTTGTTTGTTTTTGCACGTGTGTTTGCAGGATCTCTGTTTCCTTGTTAAAATGTCACTAAAGAGAAGAGAGAGAATTTAAAATATGTGGTGCAGAAATTGCTTTTTTTTTTTCCCCCACGCTTTCTGTGATTAAATTGACTGAAAAAATGCAGCACACAGAGGTTGGTTTAACAGTGCTTATTCTGAAGCAGAAAACTGCTTATTACGTTAGTAAGTGGAAGAAGACCTGATGCTACAAGAAACCCTTTATCATAAGCCATATCTTTCAAGCCATAAATTGCATATAAGGAAACTCTGAAACAAGCTGAAATTGGATACACGTAGTATGTGGTCTTTTGCTGTAGTATGATTTCTTTCACTAAAGCACCCTAGTGTTTGACATTTTAGGTGCATGCAGTCTCTTGATAGCATTCATTTCTGCTGACTTCTGAGGAATTCCCACCTGAAAGTTTACAGGCAAGGTATGGAGGCATGGTTGACTTCGCTTTTTCAACCATACTGTGATTTCCTAAGTTTTTCATGGCCTGCAGCGATCCAGATGCAGAGTTTGTGGCTGAAGTTTGCCTCCAGGATGGTGAGCTCAAAATTGGGCCTGGCAGAGGAGAGCACTTCCTCTTGTATTGTTCTGCTGGAATCACAATCCAACATTTAAACAAAAATAATCCATCAAGCCAAATAAAAATGTATGCATACCAGCAGCAAAAGACATGAATGGAAGCCATTTGCATCCGTGCAGTTTCAGAACAGACCTGTGCAGCAATCACTGCTCTGCTTGCTTTTTGGCCTCTCTTACACATCTGCTGGTAACCTGGCCTGCTGATGGGCAGCGTTGCCCATTCATAGGTTGGCAAATTGCAGCAGGTAGGCTTTTTGACCTTCTGATCAAAATTTGGGCACCATGGTTGTATCTTTAAGGACCTAAGCGGCTATTGTAGCTTCTCATATGACCTGTTACAACACGTCCTGTACATACAGTTCTATTGCCAAAATATGAGGTTGGCAGAAGTGAGTCATAACTGCGAAGATCTCAGCTTTGCTCTTTGATTTAGTTTTATCCACCAAAAATTAAAATATTTCCAAGAATACAGGTAGGTATGTGCTGTTCTCCTGTTAGGGCAGAGCTCTCACTTGGCTCTTCAGCGTATTTACATAGCTCATAGGTTATATCTTTCCAAGCTTTAATATAAAAGGAGCTGTGTGTACATTTTATCTAATCTTCAGTGCATTAGGCATGAGCAGTTCCTGGAGAAGGGATCACAGCATAGAGTTCTGCCCCTTCTCCTGGGAGTCTCTGTCTCGTGGAGTGATATTTGCCCTGCAGTGCTTTCTCTTTATGGCTTTGTGAATTCTGAATTCCTCCCTATGCTGGCACAGCTCCAGCGAGAGGACAGAGGGCGGCCTCAGCCCGAGCTCTGCCTGAAGTCTGCTCTGTAGGAAGTGGGATCTGCAGGGGGAATAGTGCCCAGCTTTCCAGGTGAGGCCTCGCCTTTGGATTACTCTTTCAAGGCAACAATATTATCTTTTTATGTACAGGTTTCTAGATGACCTTGACCAGGACAGCTGCATGCCCTGCAGTCAGCGTTGCCTTGTGACCTGAGGGTACAGAACACATTGAACTGCTGTGCAGACTCATGTCACATTTAAGGGCTAGCTTCTTCTGTGGTCAGTGCTGATGACCGTGTGGCTTTGAGTTGAGCTGGATCAATTGCTTATCTCACTGAAAATTAGATTTTTCTTTCCTTTTTGGGGGAAGATAAGGTTTCGACTGTCCAAGCTGATATAATTCAGTGCATAGCTGCATGGCTGCTCATGCGGATGTAGCAGCAACTCGTGGTCAGAAGCACAGGAGAAGGTGGGATTGTCCCTTCCATGACACCTGCATTAAGTGGAGTTTGGTAACCAGGATCAGGAAACCCTATTTCACATGTTGACCTCAAGCAAGAGCTAAGCACTGACCTTGTCAGTTATCGGTGCTTAGGGAGCCTTGACCTCCAAATCAAGCAGGTATTGATATTTGGTATTCCTTGTTTTCTGTTGACATCTGCATTTTAGATGTCTGCATTTCACTTGAGCATCACTGCACACACTGTGTTTAATTTACTTTTTTTCCACATCAGTGACAGTCGTAGTCCTTTCCATTTTCTCTTCAGAGTCTTAAGTGCTTGAGAGGGGGGTTGGTGCACCTTTTGTATGGTTTTTTAGTCATTAGCGTAAGTAAGTTGTATAGAAATAGTATTTATAAGCATCCTGTGACTCATAGCATTTGCAGACTCGTAGTGTTTTTTTCCAAAAGTGTCACAAATTGTTCTTCTTGGAGCTCGTGCTCCTCACAAAATTTGCCCTTGGCTATAATCTCACAAATAATGCCACATCCTAATTAGAGTCAAGGTAGAATTTATTTTGGTTAGCAAAAAAAAAAAAACAAACAAAACAAACAAACAAACAAAAAAAAAACCACCAAACCTGTTCCTCCAAAGAAGCTAAGAAGCTTTCAGGCCAGAGGTGGTTTCAGGCGGTGGGGATGAGGGAGGTGGTCCTGCTCCTCTTCTCTACACTGATGTGCCCTCACCTGCAGTACTGTGTCCAGATGCGGAGTCCTCAGCACAGGAGAGACATGGACCTGTTGGGGTGCATTCAGAGAAGGGACACCAGAGTGATCCAAGGGATGGAACTCCTCTTCCATGAGTTCAGGCTGAGGGAGCTGGGGCTGTGCAGCATGGAGAAAAGAAGGCTGCGAGGTGACCTGATAGTGGCCTGTCAGTATCTAAAGGAGAGCTGCAGGAAAGAAGGGGGCAGACTCTTCAACAGGGATTGGGGTGGTAGAACAAGGGGAAATGGCTTCAAGGTCAAAGAGAGTAGATTCAGGTTGGATATAAGAGAAGATCTTTTACGTTGAGGGTGGTGAGGCACAGGAGCAGGTTGCCCAGTTATGTGGTTGTTACCCCATCCCTGGACACTTTCAAGGCGAAGCTGGATCAGGCCCTGGGCAACCAGATTTAACTGGGCATGTCTCTGTTCATTGCAGGGGAGGTGGACTAGATGACCTCTAAAGTCCCTTCCAATGCGAAGGATTCGATGATTCTAGCAGACACGCAGTCAGTTATTTATGCTGTAAAGAATTATCTCTTCATGTGCCTTATCTCTTCTGCTTTGGAGTTTCTTTGTTTCTTCTGTATTTTTCTAATAATCTTTATTCTTTTTTTTTTGGTACAATCCAATTTTCTTATGCATTAAGCATGAAAGATGTGCTAATGCTGTATAGGTTTCTGAGCTTTCTGTGTGTATGTTCACCTTATAACTTGAAAGCAGCAATGCACGTGATTTGAGGAGCAATCTGGTGTTTTGAGCACAAAAGTATATAATTGAAAATGCCCTTCAGAATAGATCAAGTCATGCTAATGCTTCGTTGCATGTACGAGTAAAATTATTTGCATGCGTAAATGTTGACAAAGTTGAACTCGTTATCATCAAATCTGCTGTCAAAAGTTGACCCTGAACATTTTGCAAGAAAGATGATGATTGTCTCTTTAATTACTAAATTCTGTTTTGCCTATTTAGGAGAGCTATACACAACTCTAATTACTGCCATTCGCATCAGGCTTTCTGATGGCAATGTAACTCTCAACACTGAATGAACGTGGTGTGATATAACAGCAGTATGCAGATGCGAGGGCATCCTTTCGACTGAAGACTTTGATTATCAGATTATTATCAGACAATTGAGCTGGTATTGAAGTTGGCCAGCCATCTGTTAAGCACTCCTGCGGAACCACAGAGTCATAGATGTTAAGAGATGGAAAGTGCATTAGATCATCCAGACCGTCGTCTTGCCAGGACATGTTTTCTGCTGCATTTTTTCTTCTATGGTTTATGGCTAGAGAAACTCCAAGAACTTGGCCCTCTAGAACTCTTTTCCACAAAACTTGATGGCACATTTTTTCTTTGCCTGATATTTGGCCTAAATTTTTCCGTTTCTTTGTTTTATCGCATTATTTCAAGTCTGTGGTCTCATCTTTTAGTAATTCTTTGCTCTGTGATGCTAACAGCCTGTAACTATGAGCAGAACAGAATGATGTGATCTTGAATATTAAAGCATCGCTTACTCAAGTGCTGCACCTTCACTTCTTTAGGATTTGGGAAAAAAAAAATGATTAAAGTTAGGTTTTGTTTGTTTGTTTTTTTAAATCAAGCTGCTAACAGTATAATTTCTCAGAAGCTTATTTTATTATAGTATAAGGGTGGTCTGCTCTGGTGTTACCTGAGAATTTGTTAAAGTTATCTGAAAAGGCCACTTTCACTCTGGAATGAAAATGGATTTGTGTAGGGGTGGTAAGGCAGTGTAAATAAAGTGGTTCTGTTGTGGCATTGAGGAAGTGAGCTTATGCATGTAATGCATCACAGGGAGAAAGAATAAAATGACACTTTCCTGTTAGTGACAGAAATGCTGGAAGTTGTATCGCAGTTGCCTGCGTGTTTATTTCCCCCCCACACGCACACTTTTCATTGTCCTCTATTCTTCTCAAAGCCACTTTCTAACTGTTGTTTCCTTGTATATTTCCATTTGCTTTGGTGGGATCTGGAGGTTGCTTGTTTGTTGTTTGTTTCCCAGTGCTTGGTCTTTTCTATGAGAAGCCTTGGGTGCCCAAGCGGGGTTGGCTTGAACGTTTCCAATGTCTTAACCACAAAGAGCTTGATCAGCACCCCCCAAAACAAACATTCCCTGACCATGAGGAGGACAGTTGGGCATTGTTCTTGCTGTCATTCTGTGGGAGAGAGGCCAGTTGGTGTGAGCTGGCCATGCTGTCCTGACTCAGGCCAGAGTTCCTCTGGTCATACCCCAGTGCCTTAGCTTAAACCTCCATTTTCTAAAGCACTGCAACTGTTTTTTTCATTTCAGAGTGTCCCAAATGATGAGAGGATTGCACTGCAAGACTTCAGAGAGGAGTTTTTTGTTTGCTTTCCTTAAAACCACCTAAGAAGCTCCATACAGGCTAGGGATGTTGAAGCGAGAGGTGAGGACAAGAATATTATAAGAGGTTAAATTACTATTAGAGAGTGGATTGAAGGTATTTGGGAATTGGATTGTGTAACCAAATGGGGAAATGAATGAGAGACATGTGAATGGGTGGCTTAGTGTGATTGAGTAAGAGAAAATGCGAGTGGGCGGGTAATTAGACTGGCAAGTGAGAGAGGAGGTACGAGTGGGTGAGTTGATGGGTAGGTATGTAGCAAAAAAGTTGAAGCCATTTTATGGGCCAACTAACGATACCTGAAGGAATGGCAAAACAAACATCCCAAGGCTTGCAGGCATCATGGTGTGCTTGGGTAGAAAGGAGAGCTCCAAGACCTCTCTTGCTTTCCAGCAGTCTGTATCCAGCTCCACTGCTTCAAGTGGAGCTTCAGGTTCAGGTGTGCCTGTGCACCTGGTGAACCGTTGTTCGTACCTTAGTCAGTTGTTGATGTTCATGCAAGAATACATGAGATGATCACCAGTTGATGGTGGTTTTGACTCTTACATGAAAGAGAAGCTATGTGAACTCAGCATATGCTTTAGCCTGTCTGGGGCATTGCCGTTTTGTGGTGGTATCTCCAGTAGTTGCAGTGATTTAGAGCTGTAGATGGAAGGAGCTACCTGGCAAATATTACAGAATCACAGAATGGTGGAGGTGGAAAGGGACCTCTGTGTCCATTGGTCCATAGCCTGCTCAAGGGGAAAAAACCCAGAGCTGTGCTCAGCCCCACATCTGGCTGGGTTCAGAGGTCCCTGAGGAAGAGACCCCACAGCCTCAGGATCTGTCTGCTAGAGATTTGTCACCCACACAGCACAGCAGTGTTGCCTGGTGACCAGAAGGAGCCTCTTAGGCTCCAAATGATGCCCAGTGCCTGTTCTTCTGGGCCTGTGTCGGCCACCACTGAGCAGAGCCTGTCTCCATCCTCTCTGTGACCTCCCTTCAGGTATTCAGGGGTGTGCTGGGATTCCCAGAGCTGCTTCTCCTTCAGGGGAGCAGTCCTAGTTCTCAGCCTCACTGTAAGTAGAGGCCGAGATTGGAGGTACAAAGATGGACGTGCTCAAGTTACAGATGTTTAACATGTCAGCCTAGCAGCATTTCCCACACTAAGAAAACATTTCATTTGAATGAACATAACACAAAGTTTAAGTATTCTTAAATAATCAGCAAACCATGACTGACAACTTTAATTAGATTTTTTTTTCCTGTATCTGGTATATTAGTTCACTATGTCTAATCAGTAATTGGTTTTAGTTTACCATAGCAGAGTTTAAACCCTATCTGTGACCTTTTCTAGTCAGATACAGTCAAGCTATTGTTGAAGGTAATTACTGTACTATCCTGTTAAGGTACACTGGGTTGTGTATGGTATGTTTTCAATATTTGTTTTAATAAAGCAAGTCCTTTTCAAGCCCAAATAGGGTTGAATGACTCTTGCAGAAAGTTACAGGCTTTATCTTAGCTGCCAGAAAGGTGTGTGTTTGCTAAGGAATAACTAAAACACTGGGATTGAAATACCCTACTGGAGACCAGGCCCTGCAGGTCTTTACATCGAGTAACCAGGCACGGTGAGAGTTTTGCCTTGCTTGAACCTACTTCTTGAGGAAGACTGCTGTGCTTCATACGTGCTCTAACAGCAGGATGAGGGCCTAGCACACCACCCAGCCTGCTGTACCAAACAAGGTCGCTCTACCATAGTCTTTTTTTCATCTTAAGCGTCACCTGTTGCGATCTAAATCTCCTCCAAAGCTGTAAGTATAGTCACGCAAGCTCCTACAGTAGTCTGTTTAATCTTTTTTATCTGAGACAAATCCAGAAATATTTTGCTGTACTAAGGCAGATGCTGTGCTGGTACAAGGACTCAAATCTCTTGCTAATGTTCAAATGCCGTAGTGACTGTGCAAAGTAAGATGCAGAGGAATGTGTGGGTATGTTTAATGCAAGCCTGCTGGGTTGTAGATCTGTCAAAGTCCCACATTTGCATTACTTACATAAGCACAAATCCCAGTAGTGTTTACTCGTGCTTTGTGTTTTAGGAACTGCAGGAATTGAATTGCTAGGGTGAAAATCCCCTTCTTACTGCCATCAGCGGGATTGCTTAGAAGCTGGTAAAATATTGACAGTTGCAGCCCTAACTAGAAGCTTGTTTGCTGTTACGTTTGATATTATAACTAATCACAACAACCGTAAGAGCAGCAAGCGTCCTCTTTGGAAACACGCGTTGTCATAAGATTCTGAGAGTACATAGGAAAGAAAACATTAAAGTTTCTTTTCTGTTTAATTAATTGTTTGTTTTTTTGGCGGTGGCAAGGTTACAAAGGATTTGTAATAAGCATGCTTCGTCTGTTGCCATTTTTTTTCCATATGGGTGTGTGCTTCCTTTTCATTATGTTGTTTTTCTTTCTTTTTTTTTTTTTCTTTTAGCATAGCCGCTCCTTTCATTTTTAGACTGAGGAAAGAGCTGCAGAAAAAAGCTTTCGTAAACACTGCGGTTCTGATCATTCTAATCCTTTATTACCTGAAGGGGCGGTTGCAGGAAGCTGCTACAGGGAAGGAGGTTTACAGTTTCCTAAAGGTTTGGGATTGTACGATGAAGCAGCGTATTTTAGATGCTACGGAGAATGTTCAGAGCAACATGGTCAAAAGGTGCGTTGTTACATCCCTTTGGCTTGGCTTACTTGACTTTAATTCTGCCCCATAGAGTTCTGAGCCTGTGAAGCTGTCATCTTAAGCACAAAACTGGAACAGGTTACCTAAAGTCTGTGCATTATCTTAATTGTTTCCTGCTGTTGTAAAACAGATTTTATTTCAGAAGATAATATCTCAATACTTTCATTACTGGGCTTTTTCTGTTTGTTCAAGGGACGTGCTAAGGAGAAAGTGAAGGAAAACACTCGATCTCAGAAAGAAGAAAGTAATTAATGCTGTTAGTTGTACTGACTGTAATGCTGAGATAGCGTCTGTAGGAAAATGGCCAGACGGCTTAAACAAGAAGTAAGAATATTTTTAGCAGGCTGAAGCTGCTTAAAATGCTGAAATGGGAGTAGGACAGGGAGGGTGGTTTTGGGGAAAAAAAAATTAAAAAAAATTGACAAAGTCACTCATCCCATCCCTTGTGATGCTCTGAATTTCTTCTTTTTTTCTCCCTATGGTCAGTCATGTGTTCCAGTTGTGTTTGCTGCCTTAAGACTGTAACTACTTGCAAGGGGTATCTTATTTTCCTAATATTAAAAATAGGGGTGTGTAATAATAATAATGTCTTTGTAGTGATTCCTCCCTGGAAGACCTGTCACACTCTGCATTAGAGTTCAGGGCTCCCTGTTACGTGTTGCTGTGTTTTGTGGATGGACACTCCAGCAATGTGGGCTTATTAAGTTACAGCTATGGTCTGAAAGATTGTTCAGAGCAGCTTATTTTTTTATTGCCAGACAGGATTTCGCCGTTCCTTTGTCTTGTTTGGTCCAGTAGAACCAGTCCATTTGTCAGAGAAGGATTTGTCTGCTTAAAAAAAACCATACAGTTCCTTGACTAGAAGAAATGCTTAGCAGCTAACACGGAGTAAGAGATGGCAGTTCTCTGGTGGCTCAGGAGATGCTGCAAGCTTAAGGGATCTAATGTGAAGGCACACAAACGGACCAAATCATGGCTACATCCCAAGGTTTGAGATTCTGTAAAATGGTATCTTAAGTGGTACACCCATTAAAATGTGCATACAGTAACTGTCACACAGCCCTTTATAATAGGAAGGCAACCTTCTTACTTGACTAAAGTTAATAAAATTGTGTCAAGGAGTGGGATAACTATAATATGGAATAAGAGGAGATTAACCTTTCCAGTCTCAGAATCTGTAACTGAAGTATTGTGGCAAAAAGCTAAAATAAAACAGCTGTACATGCTACAAGCACAGATTGGATAAGGGACTCTGAAGAATTGATTTTGCCATAGGTAAGGAAGTGGGCTTCTGAGCTGCTTGAATTTCTCAGATGCATTTGCTTCTGTTGCTCACATGTACTGCGTAATGAATTGCCATTTTGAGCATGCAGCTCTCAAAGATGAGGTTTTCAAAGCGCTCAGCAGCAGACAGCACCTATGTGCTTCATTCCAGCTCGTGGTGACACCTTCTGGATACTGGGAAATTGGAAAATTTCACCTGCCATGTGGATAATTCATTGCAAGTTGAATTTTTTTTTTTTCTATAACATAGTGTGCATAGTAGTACAAGAAAATTGTCTGGATCTGCTGTCTCCCAGGCCTGTAACGTTGTAAAGTATTTTCTTTACAAATTGCTTTTAAAACACAAATGCGCGTATTTGAATATGCTCTGCAGATTTGTATATTTCTGTGTTTGGAAGAAACCCATAAAATTATTTCCATATTCCTTTCAGTAAATCTCTAGTTTATTATTCTGAGAAAATTTGATGCATCTGCTGTGCGCAATGATCTGCCTTTCTGAGCCGCAGATGCACAGCCTTGCATATCTTGTCAGATCAGTGTAGCAACTGCTTTTACAAAGTACGTGACAATGTACAACCTCCTATCTGAGAACCAGATCAGACTTAAAATTGGGACTGGGTCCAAAAAAATAAAATACTGCAATCAATCTACTCCCTGTGTCAGCATTCAGATTCATTTCTGTTACATACACTGCTGGGAACTAAAGCGGAAAATACACGCTGCCATCCAGAAACAGATTCCTGAGTCATGGAAGATGGCTGAGATGGGCGTTGTTGATAGGAGTTGCTTAAAGGCTCCCATTTTTGCAGAAGCCTTCTGGTCTGACAGACGCTGAAGGCAGTGTTCTAAGCCTGCGTGACACTAAGGAAGTCACTGTGTGACAATCCGGATGCCACGTGACTTCCCTGTTTACAGTCAGCTCAGCTGTAAATACATGTATGTGAAACAGCAGCAGCAGAATTATCTGCTCCTGTCGTAACATCCTCGGTCTGTGTGGTCGTCAGCCTTCCACCTCCTCCTCGATACCAGTGGGGATTTGCAGCATTCAGTCCCTGGAAGACTGTATTTAAGAGCTGATGAGTTCAGACTGCCTTGACCTCTTGCTTAAGAGCATGTGTTTCCTTCCCGTCTGCCTGCTTGCTGCTATTCTTGGCTGCTGGCCGGCACCTCTCCTGTCCACAGGCACGTGGCGTGTGGGCAGGTGGTCTTCTCCTCACCCATGTCCTGCATGCTTTCTGCTTAACCCTGTCATTTCCCTTTTCCCAGCGTTAGCCACCATCTCTGCAGTGGGCTTGGTGGAAGCAGATGAGTTAGCAGCGTTCCAGCGAGGAGGATGGACAGCCCTGAGAGCCACTGCCACGGCCATGGGCAGCGCTCAGGTGCGTAGCATTGTACTGCATGGCACAGGGTTGCCTTGGGGTTACAGCAGTAAATCTTTCAGAATGAATTGTGTTCTGGAAGTGTAAGGGCTCCTTTCTGGGCAAACCCACTTGCCAGTGTCTAATCTGCACCTTAAAGCTCTGCTTGGTAAATCCCCAAGCTGGCAGTTCTGCCTGCCCGCAGGTGGAGACCTTAACATCAAAATATCTTTCTTGATAAAGAACAGTGGAACCTCTTGTGTCCACAGTCACAATAAAAAGCCTTCTAAAGGCTTTATTCCTTTTTCTAATTCTCGTTACACTATGGATGTGCAGTGGACTACATGGGTGGCATTTGGCACTGGTACAAAGGCAGAATAACTTCGTACATGTGCCCGTACCTGTTTACGAGTGTACAGGGTTCAGTTGCTGGCACATGAGTGATGCTTCTGAGACACCTCATGGGACGTTCCTATGGGGCTGGCAGGTACATCAGGAGTTTTCTGGGAGTATCCCAGTGTTGTGGAATGTTAGCTGCAGGCCAAGTACAGCACCTGACGTGACAGGAGGCATAGGTGCTATTTTTAGGCAAATAATCTTAGTTCTGAGTATCCTGAGGGGAGCAATACTGCTCTACAGGTGTTGCTGTGGTGCTGGGTCTGTACTGAGAGTTTCCAGTGTTACATTTCATCCATACATAAGAGGAAACAAATATAAATAAGGAATAGTGTAAAAGTGAAAAACACTTTCACATCTTTGCACTGAACATCTCAGAACTTGTGATAGTGAATTGGGATGCAAAGAAACCAGCATTTTTTACTGCATCTGGAATCTGATGCAGAAGAACATCATTAGGCCTGGGACCAGTAAATTCTTATGAGTGTGATAACACTTAGTGCTTACATTTTCCATATTAATTCATCAAATCATCATAGAACGGCATGAGTCAGAAGGGATGTTAATAGCAATCACATTCCAGCCTCCAAATTTGAGTATCAGCATCACATTTCCCCATTAAGTTTTTTAAATTATTTTTAATTAGAATTTTTGGTTGTGTTTTATCATATCGTGGTAGTAAATAGTGAATTGTTCTTCTGTGGGAGTAGAGGAGAACATAAATTTTGAGCCAAAACACTGCAGCACCTAAGAAAATTGGGCTTCTGTTTTTAATTGCCAATTTCTTTCTCTTTCCTGTCAGCCTTGATTTAAAGGGAAAAAAAATCAACAAGCCCATTGTGATGTTTTTGATTAGGTTTCAACAGAGATAATAAAAGTATAGTGTCCTTTTGTGAAAGGAGTTTTTAATTATTGTTAATTGTACTTGCTAGCTTCATTTCTGAAGGGAAACGGAGGTGACCTCATTCCAAAAGTTGTCAGTCTCATGCTAGTGTCATTCACCGCCTGGAAAAGATGTTGCTCTTTGTTTCTTTTTGCTTTTCTTAATGAGGAGCTGTCAGCTGGCCTGATGGTCCCTGCAGCTTTGGAAACACTTTCCAAACTCAGTTTCAGTGGCTTTCTTGTTTCTGAAATGTTCGGCTTAAATGACAGAGCTGAATTATGTCAGAGGAGCACAGGAACAGTAGAGGATTTTAGATGTGCGGTCGGCCTGTCTGCTTGATAACATCTCTAACAGCAACAAGTGTGAAAGATCTGGGGAGAGGTTATGGAGTTCTTGTAAAAGGATAGTTGCAAAGGTTTGAGGAATCGTGTGCCTTGTTTTTTCACTCAAATTAATGCTCTTGAATGTTTTCCATTATTTACCCAGAGGCCTGATTTGTGAAGCCTTAAAAGATCTTACCTCTGGTATTCTTGTGGCATTGAGCTGTGCTTACAGATGCACTGAGTATTCTCCCACTCTCCAGGCTGTAAGCCATGCAAGGCAGTGGGAGTTCTGTGTCTGTGCACATTGCTGCTCTCAGTGCATTTTAAGACCAGTATCCAGTTGGGATTGTATTATAAGTAGCTAAAATATATACATCATTTTAGTTCATTGTACATTACCTTGCATTAGAAGGATGAGCAGGAGTGCTTCTTTTGTCTCTTCATAGTTCTTCATTTCATACACCACTTTTTTGTTTCATCTTACATGAACAGTCTCTAAATACCTGAAACTTTACAATTCCATTTCAGTTAATCCAATGCAGTCTGCCTCTTTGTCTGCTGTATATCTCAGCCTAGCTGAAAATCCCCATTTCTCATCAGTACCTCCATACTCTTTCATAAAGATGCTATGACAAGCTCATCTGGCAAGTTGATCCCATCTTTGTTGCCTGTTGTACAGCAATGCATAAAGACAGATTTTCACAACCGTTGTCTTTTAACACCAAACTCCAAGTGAGATCATTATCAGTGAGTCTCCTGAACTCCTGGGGCTGGAATCTTTGCTCAGTTATTGCTCAAGCAAACTCTTGCTGACTTTGATCACTCTGCTTCTTTTCTGTCACAGACGTTTATTTAAAGCTGCTGATTCCTTCTCGGTACCAAAACTACTGACTTGGAGACACAGAGCAAGGTGCCAACGGGTCTCTCTGCAAGGAAATAAGTGTTCCACTGTTTAGTTTTCTAACAATGGCCTGGAGAGATCTGTAAGTTCAGTGAGTTACATTCATTGGATATCATCACTACTTACCTAAATTTAGCATTGTGAACCACAGCCTGGAGCACCCAGTTCATCTCATTCCTTTACTTTCTGCCACTCATTATAAACAGGTTCCAGGTCTCAGCAATGTGAGATGTTGGGGCTATCTAAAAAGGTTTATATTCTGTGACATCCAAGATTTCATTTGGGCACCAGGAGCAGAAGTTTTTCCAAAGGAAGGAGGACACATGTTTCAATTAGAGCACTGAACTCTGATCACCTTACACCGACTTGATTCTGTCCTCCTTTTTGTTGTCTGTAGCACGGGGTTAACAACTGCACCTTAAAGGTTTATGCTGAAATCACAGAATTGTGACATTTTGATAAGACTTCTGCAGTTTTGTCAAAGTAGATGCAAAATAGAAATAATGTTAATTTTTTTCATCTCCCAAACAGAATCGCGTTTGGTATTCTTACATTGCTTTATTTCCTATTTGTAAAAGGTGTGGAACTGTTCTAATCTTCACTTTCATAAAATGGTAGAATCATTTGAATTGTAAGGGAACTTTAAAGGCCCTCTAGTCCAACTCCCCTGCAGTGAACAGGGACATCTACAGCTTTATCTACTTTCTCCAAATCTGAGTTATCATGTGAGGTACTCTGCCTGCTGAAGGTGCATTCAGACAGAACCTGGTAGGATGTCATTTCTGAAATGGTGGTACCATGTTGGGGACCTGTGTGTATCAGCACAAGGTGATCATCATAGTGAACAGAAAAGCAGGATGTTGAGTCTTGTCCCTTGTTCTCACAAACTGTTGCAGAGATTGTAGCTTACAGGGTATTGAATTGTTGGACTATCTTTTGTACAGTTTGACTCCCAGATTCTGAAAGGGAATGGATGAGCTGCTTCTACCTGCTGACTAAGGACAATTCAGAAACACGGTTACCCTGTCTAGAAGAGATGCAGAGAGATTTCTTAACACTGAACTGCCCAGCGGTGTATGAGGAGCAAAGCTGTATCCTGAGTTCAGACAGAGAGTCTCTTTTTTCCCTACCAAGGAATATTTTCAAGTGCTGGAGGAAAAGCAAGCTTGGATGTTGTGGTGGCAGATGCAGAGCTGTGTGGGAGAGCAGGTTTATTCTCGTCTTTCACATCTTGACAGCTCCCCACGTTCCTTTTTGACCGTGGGCACGGGACACACAAGCTTCATGTAGGCAAAACTAAAATAAAAAGGGAAAACAACTTAAAACTGCCCTAGGCAAAAAGAAATGGCGGCGAGAATACCAAAGGATTGAGCAACCTGGGGATGTTGTTTCTTTTAAGGATTCTGACTATAAATGACGTCACTTAGATAGTTGGGATGTTTGTGAGCACTACAGGGCTTGGAAAGGGAAAGCTGATCGGAAAAACACTGGGAAGCTGAATAATTTGTTATGTTTTATGACTCCGTGGTAGTTAATGGGACAGCTATTACTCATGAGTTGTCACTGCACATCTAGAAAATTCCTCTGGGTTTCAAAACTGGCAGGAAAAAGTAGTTTCCTAAAAACCATTGAATTAATGAGACAAAGCCTATTGCTCAGTCCTGGACAGGAAGGGTCAGAGGCGGAGTTATGCACAACTCATTGTTGGAAATCTTCCCTGCAAGATGTTTGAAAGAGCAGAAAGTGCTGGGGGGAATTAGTAGTGCAGAAAGCAGGCTTAGCATCTCACTTTCATAATGTACTACTGTCAGTCTGGGAAGAAAAGAGCTTGATTGGATTGTAACAAATCCTTTATTTTTCATTCCCTTACCTCCATAAATATCTGGTACTATGGTGCAGAACTGCTAAAGAGATGGGATTTGAGGAAAGCTTGTCTTACTCATGGGCAATAGCACAAGGCAGTGTGTCAGGAATACTGAAACTCAAACTTATGGACGTGTACTGACGGAAAAGAAAAAAGCATTTGTTTTTATATCTTCATTATACAACTCTGTGTTTTCACAGTTTTATAGTTCATGTCTGTCATTTTTCTGACTTCGTATGCGAGGGTTATTCCATAGGTTTAAACAGTGCAGTTTGCATATTTTAATTTAGTTATTTTAGTTATTTCAACCTATCCTGTCCCATCCATACAGGGTACGCTTTATCCTTATCTTAACTGGAAACCAAATACCGATTTTATGGTCCCTGAAAGCAGGATGAGTGCTGTTTCAGTTGGATGTTTCACAGCTCAGTGTAAATAGAAGACTGCTTCAGTCTGGAAATGCAACTGGATATGTTCTCCAGCAAACTCCGGACGTGCCTTCTCTCTTGGAGAAAGTGCTGATAGTTCATTGGCTATAAGGGAAATCTATAGAATGTCAGAGGTACGATTCAGTGATTAATAATAGAGTCAGCAAGACACTGTAACAATTCTGCTGCAAGTTTGTCATGTATTACAGTACCTCAAACGTAATCATGTTCATTCCTCCATTTATTTCAGTGCTTTTGTTTGTTACTGTCCTTGCAGTTACATCCAAGATTCTTCTGCTTACTCTTTTTCCTATACACAAACTTTCATCCAGAATATTACCAGTTTCACACAGAGGTAACAGCAGAAGTGGTACATTTTTAGCTTCACATCATTAGCTGCGTACATGCAGCATGCACACTTTTGAAACAGGCAGTACTGAGAAGGTTCTGAATTTTCTGAAAAGCACGTAGATGCTGAGCTTTATGTCCTTGGATTTTTGCTCTTGGTTATGGAACTCACTGTCTGGGCCAGAATGAGGAAATACTTCCTGCATCTGCTGTGAAGAAGTGCTGGATCACAGAATAGCTCAGTTTTCACCACGGCAGAAAGGGAACTTTGAACCATGACTGCAGCTGTTGGGGGAACACTTCAGGACTTACGAGGATAGCAGGGGTGTGATGTAATTCTCATTATTTTGGACACAAAGCAGTTAGGATAGAGGGAGGCACTTCCAAGAAACCTTGTTTGTGATGTGTTAAGCAAGCGTTGGGGCACCAGTAAATGCAGTCACATGTGTACGTGGGCAGCAAGCACAGGGATGCTCAGGTGAGCTCTTAAAGGACTTATCAGGGTGCCAGGAGTAGTGTGGCCAGTTCAGGAGTCGTCGTATTGTGCTGAATGTCCACTGCTTCCATATTTTGGGCTGGTCAGAAGGCGCAGCAGATGGCTATGACAGTACAAAACACAGCTCTCCTGCTTTTAGGGTAGGAGCTCTTGTAGCAAGACTGCTGCCTCCTTACTGCCTTGTTAGGGAAGGAGCTGTATGACAGCATTGCTTTTCTTGTATCATACAGTCATCAAAGTTGGAAAAGACTTCTAAGATCATCTAGACTAACAGTAAGGCCATCCCCACCATGCCCACTAACCATGTCCCTCAGTGCCCTATTTCCCCTTCTCTTGAACGCCCCCAGGGACAGTGACTCCACCTCCCTGGGCAGCCTGTGCCAGTGCCTCACCACTCTCTGATAATAAATTTTTCCTGATATCCAACCTGAGTGATGGGTTCCAGGCTCTTTCAGGGGACTTGCCTGATGTTCATGCTGATGGTTTGTTTTGTGTTGTTTTTTTTTTTTTTTACCTAAATGTGGGTTGCAGGTGAGTCTAGATGAGAATCACTCCAAATGGGACACCTTTAATTGTAAGCAGCAAGTCACTCTAGGCTCTAAGGTCGTACATTGACACCAAAGCAACTACTTGAGTTTGATCACTCCATGCTTCTCCATCATGCCAAAATTTAGGCAGAATGAAAAAAAAACCTGACACTTAACTCATTGTTTCTCCCTTTACATCCCTTAGCCTGCAGTGTGAGTGGGGGGGGGGAGAGGACTGGCGGGTGGCATGGTGACAGGCCGCATGTCTGGCACCCTGCCTGGTGGAGAGGGGTGCTCGCCATGCAGCCGTCTGCGCAGACAGTCATGTCATGCTGCTCTGTGCTGTCACTCGTTGAGCAGAAAGACAGTAGGCTTCCTGAAGCTCAAGTCACATGTATTGTGCACCAGTTAAAAAAAAAAAAAAAAAAATTTGGCTTGCTGCTGATAGAAACCTAACTTAATTTTACCATTAAAGAGGGCTTAATATAGTCTACTAATGTTATCATTGTTCGCCTGATTTCCCTTCTCTGCTGATTGTGTCTCCTTCCCTGTTTTCTCTCCATGCTGAAAGGAAGCTGCTAGAACAGTCAGCATTGCTGAGAGGCAGACCATGCCTCTGGAGGATGCTGTTCTGTGTTTGCTCCGGAATGTGGGCACTTTGCACAGTCTGGTAGCACAGCCCTGCACCATGCCAAGTTGTCCTCCTGTCACCTGCTCTACACTTGGAGTTTGTATGCATATCTATGTGCGTACCACGTTCTTATCCCTATCAGATTTTCCTTCTGAAGACTGCCTTCTCTTTTTTTCCCTTTTTTTCTTATATCTTACTTTGCCAGGTCCTTTTCTGCAGCTGACGTTACACAGCACATACTTACTTACCCCAGTCATCACTTCAACTGTTACATCCTTTTAACCTTCACAGTTGTTACAGTAGACAATTGTGGGGATAATTTAGAATGAATTTACTTGGCCAGTATTAAAACCACAAAGAAATCCAAAGTAATTCTGTGCAAAAGGAATCTCTTGATGAAATTATTTGCAAGGGGCTGAAAGGGGAATACATTGTGAAAACCCAGTCCAGCTGCAAGGCAGTGCCTTGGGGACACCATTGTGGGCTGGCAGCTGCATATGTCATGTCAAACCTGTTCTAACCACTGCACAGTGAATGCAGAATGGTCAGCATTGCTGAGCAGGGAGTGGGCCTTGCTGACAGATGCTTACTGCTATTTATGTTATGCATTAATTCAGTGAGTTCTGTGTCTTTAGTGCAGTTCCGTTCTCTGTGACAATTCCCCTTTTCTCATCGTGTCTAAGAAATTAAATTGAATTTGCAAATTATTACAAATTGATATTAGGATGCCTATTAACAGATCAGACTCAATGAAAGCCATACCATGAAGTAAGTGAGCTCATTTAGTCATTGATTAATTGATTTAACTATCTCTCTATTGTAGATAGGAGAGTTCAAATGAAGACCTAACTCTTCTTCAGTAAGTCAGCAGGATTGTTTTGATTGTTTTGTCACTGTTTATTGTTCCTTAGTAGCCACATTTCTACAAGCGTTATGTTGAACCATTTGTTAAAGACCACTTCTAGGCTAGCTTTTGTATCCTGAATCCATTTGAAACTTCAAAGTCTGTAGTCACTTTTTCTTAGCACTAATTCTTCATCTTTATCTTCTTTTCCCTGGGGAAACATTCAGTACATCGTCCAGGTTGAATTTTTATCTTGACACAGCGTCCTTAATTTCTGTGATCTCTGCTAATCATATTCTTAATGCATTCATCAGAAGGTCTTCCACTCAGCAATGTCCTCTCTGTACACATTCTGTGTCTCTCTTGGAAGTTTTCTTCCTTAGCATGTATTTGGCTACTGCTGCAGTGAGGTTGCAGGTGCAGAGGGGTGTGCATCATTTCATCTGTCTCCTGAGATGTTTCCCTGACTTTCACACATCTGAACTGATACTGGTCAGCTGCAGCTCAGTGTCATTTCAACAGAAAGGAGCTTTCTCCTGTGCAGGCCTTCTTGTAAATGCCACAGAAGTACCTTAAAGTAAACCTTAAAGAAGTACCTCAATTTTAAGTTTGTACCTTCCTATGATGCCTGGAGTAGATAGGCCATCAAGCTGCTAATCTGCCTACGTGGGAGATTTTATTGTCTGATTATTCCTTATGCTTTCTTTTCTTTTGATATCTCTTTACTCTTCCTTATCTCAGACACTAAAACAGAAAACAGACTGCTTTGATTCTGATCTCTATGAAACTCTCAGATTGATGTATGTTGGTCCATCATCAGGACTCTGCCCTGCTACAGCAGTTTTACAGTGCTTCCCCTGGAAACCATAGGGAACCTTAACATCTCTGTAATGAAATAGCTTTATCGTGTGCTCAACCTGAGTTTCTCAGGTCCCAGAGAAAATAAGACCAGAAACATCAGCCTGCTTTGTTTTGATGCTGAATAGACAATTTGCTGACCTTATTTGTAGCTTGGAAATGTGGAGCTGGATACAAAGAAGAGACTAATACAATCAAAAGATTGGATGTTAGGGAAAAACTCAAAAAGAGTGGTGAGATATTGGCACAGGCTGCCCACAGAGGTGGTGGAGTCACTTTCCCTGGGAGTGTTGAAGAAAAGGGGAAACATGGCACTGAGTTGCATGGTTTAGTGAGCATGATGGGGATGGGTTGACGGTTGGACTGGATGAGCTTAGAAATAATTTCCAACCTTAATGATGCTATGATTCTATGAAAAGCAAGTTGCAGCAAAATAGATACATGTATGTTCTGTTCTTCAGGTAGATAGGAACATATTTTCCTAGTACGGTTAAAGCAAAGAACACTCTGCAAAACAAAATTAGTTTCAAAATCCAGCACTTTTTCACTTTTTCACATCTCTTGTTTGGCTCTATTTAATATGTTGAGCTTTATGCTGTGGTTCTATAATTAGTTCTGTAATTTTCTGTGGCGTGTACCGGCATCAGTGTTCATTATTGAAGCACATTGCCTGTTTTTATCCTAGAGATGTATTTTGTCCTGTAACAGCAGTCAAATGCGTGAACTGAGCATTTTGAAGAGGTTCAGGAATGAGGAACAGTAAATGCTCAAAATTGCACGTGGTCCAGGGGATGTAATAATTTCAGTGCTGCCAGTGCTAGTGCCAGGTGATGGGGAATCCTTCATCTTTGCTGCATGTGTGTTGAAGATGGCTCTCATCTCCTGGCTCAGGCTGGATGTGGCTCTGGGCAGCCTGGTCTGGTGGTTGGTGACCCTGCACATAGCAGGGGGGTTGAAACTAGATGATCATTGTGGTCCTTTCCAACCCAGGCCATTCTATGATTCTATGACTTTTCCAGTCTCTAACATAACATATGAGCCAGTCATCTGTCCCTAAAATCTTCAGGTACACCTGTCGACCCTCTCACTTCAGAGCCAGAAGAAAAACTGTTTGATAAGGTCGTGTTCCTTGATCTACAATAACAGGTGCAGAAAAGAAGAGGTTATGTATAGATATAACTTCTCATATGAGTTTTTTTGAATATATGAATACATGTACATAAAACCACTGGGTGGCTCTGTTTATTCTGTTGGTCAAAGAGAGGGGCGGTTCCTGGAGTGATGGGAAGTGACAGCAGCTCCTATTTATGTGTACCACTTTCTTAATCTGCAATAGAATGTGGTAATCTGAGATGGAAGGGAACTGGTAAAAATGTGTGATAGCCATGTGACTTTTCCTCTGCTTTTGTAAGGAGATACTTTTGTAATGAAAATGCAAACATACACTTAAATAAATGCTTTTATGAATTCCAGGTGCTGATCTCTGCAAGTGCCTTCCCTATGCCAAAGAAAGAACATGTTTTTGATGGAAAACCTACTTTTAAATGAGTACAAACGGTAAGGTAAATAATCCCCATTCCAGTAAGTTGATGGAATACATTCTCTACACGGGATGTGTTTCCTGCTGAGAAATATGTGGACAAATATATCTGGCATGTATTGTGGTTCTCACTGTGCAGCCTGGTATGTAGGAAGTAGGCATCTTGAAAAAATGAATTTTTTTCTTCTTAAACATGACAGAAGAGAGATTCAAAGGTGGTTTGTTTTGTTCTGAAAATATTTCTGGTTTGGCTTTTGTGTTTTTTGCAATGTCACTCCTCATAGGAGGAGTCAGGAATACTTGAATCTTCAGATAGAAGATCTTTTGCAGCCTGTTTATCAGGTATGGGGATGCATTTGGGATTAAAAATAATCACGTTTGGGTCTGATTTGATTTCTTATCCCTGTTATTTGCTATCTTCTTTTTTTCTGCTAGTTTTATTTTACTTGCTCTCCAGTTATCAGAGAATCTTTCAAAATAGTCATGATTGAAGGCTGTGTAATACCAGAAAAAATACAGAGAAATAAACACTTTTGTGTGTGTTCATTGTTACTTTTGAGTCATACCTAAGAGGAATTATTTCCAGATCACCTTTCTTTCTCTGACAGGCAAGTTAGCAAGATTTTTTTATGTAGCAGTGTAAGTAAATCCAGTACTGAAGATATGCAGAGGGGAGAAAAAGTTACGAGCGCCTCATTTGGAGAGCTCCCTTTGTAGAGGCATGAGTGGATGTGGTACAATGCAAAGCACAAGAATGTAGACAGTAGGTGTAGTTTTTGAGTGCTTCGTGACAGGACCATTTCTGCTTAGCATTAGGATTAGCACTTCCCTTGGATCTTACGTAACGGAGACTTTGCTGGGGTGGTTTCTAAATAAGATCATTGCTCTTCAGATTCCAAAAGATGTAAGTCAGAGGAAATATTTTAAACTGAAGAACTGTTTTATTTTCGTAGTGATTATTGGTTTCCTCCCTGTTCCCAGTAAGAAACTACAGTGTATGTAAAACAGCAGTGGGAATGAAAAAAATGATGTTTTTAGAGTAAAAAGACATCAGGAAGAAACAGTGGGTTTTGCTGCGAATGGTAATGTACTTCTAACACACCTTAAAAAATAGGGCATTAAGTTAGTCATTGATCTTCCTGTACAATTTCTAAAGCGCAGCATGTGACACTTCTGTCCAGAAAGCTATGATGCCCTCCAAAAAAAAAAAAAGATTGCACACCTCTCTGCTGCCCCAAAGATTGCTGTTCGACAGAGCAGCAGTCAGCTGCTGTGCTGATGGGCACAGGATGGGTACATGGGCAGAAATAGTGGAGTGAGAGACAGAAGCCTGGCTACTCCTGTTCCCTTCCTGTTTCAGTAGCTCTTTCTGAGTTGGGGGATGGCTGATTCCAAGGAGTTAGACAGACTGTTTCACTGTTCTCTGCCTCACATTCTCACAAGTACTGCAAAAAAGAAGCGTGATGGTAATATTCATATAGATCTGCTTATCATTCCTTGCAGAGCAGTGAGTACTGGTTGTGCTTGAATTTGAGTGCACAGAAATCTCTCTCCCCCTGTAAGAATTGAAGTCAGTTCTTTTACAGTAATTTTTAGTAATGCATAATTCATATACTATAGTTTTTGTCACATGAGCATCTCACTGTATTTTTCCCAGCTTGATAAGCTTGCTTTTGTATTTTTAGGATTTCTTTTTCCCTAATAATCCCAAAAATATGAAGAGGTTTCAGAGACTTGCATAGCAAGGAGATTGCTTCATTCAGTAGGTGATTCTCCTGCTCCTACTATTTACAGGTCCTTCTTCTGCAAGGAATTATTTACCCTAGTATGGGGCTATGCCACTGCCAGGGATTCAGTGCCTCAAAGTAAAACAAATGAGTTAAATCTTACTTTTATCATTCAGTAATTTTTGGATCTCTAGTCCAAAGTGACTCATTTGACAGGGAACACAGTGTCTGTTTTCTAAGTTTAGTAGTAAACTTTGGTTGCCTGTTTTATTGATTTGACTGTAAAAGCACTCGAAGTTCAGACCTTGAGAAATGGGCTCAAAGCCTGTTGAGGAGTCTGGAGGAAGAGAAGAATGATTATGAGGTTACATTTTCAATTGTCTATTTCAAGAGCAACACAAACAGCTTCTGACATTTTATTTTTTTTTTCCAGATTGAGGACAACCCTTTCTTGTTCATAATGGATTGCTCAGAAAAAAAGACAATTGGACATGGTAGAAGCTGTTTTTTTCCTAAGGTATAGCACATCTGTGTCCCTCCTTGGCATCAGGTGGTACTTGTAAATATTTTGCAGCATTAGCCATCAGACCTTTCCTGTTACAAGCTTTGAGAAGCTTCGAAAATGAAAAACATAAACATATTATGCATTCAGAACAAATGAATTGGATGTTTGCTTAGTGTGTAATACAGGTCTTTATTCAAGGGCTGTTCGCCCATTCCAAAGGAAATTCCCTCAATTGCTTGCTTGGTGATTTTTTTCATTAGAGCTAAACAAAGGACAGGAAGGAAAGTGAGGTATGCAAAGTATTGTCATCAGTGTAGGAAATCTTAACAGTAATGATTTGTCATGTCATTAATTTCCTTCCCCAAGTGACTAAACAATTTTTCTTGTTACCTGTTTATGTCAAGCTAGCACAGACCTTGTAGTCATTAAATCACAGCTGTAGAAGCTTAGGTTGTTTCTTTCACATTGCCAGTTCTAAGATAACAAAATTACTCAGCAAAAAAAAAAAAAAAACCACTAGGGAAAAGTTTAGGCAGCAGGCCAGCAGTGAAAGCTGGGCATTTTATGAAGACCTAGTAAAACTTTAGTAAGAATCTCAAAGTTTGATGTATTGATTTTTGTCTGTAAGTTCAAGAAGTATTTCATTGCAGACTGAAACTCTCATCTCTGTTTCTTGTGACCAGCTGAGCAAGGGAGATGGGATTTGATGTTATCCAAGGTGTAATTCCACAGTTCATGTCTCTAGCTAGCGCCAGCTTAATAAGTTTCTGCCTGCTCCCATCCGCTCATTTCCAGCTCAGCAGCAATGCGGTGCCATCTCTTTCCTCACCATGTGAAAACCCAGGACTCTGAAAATACCTTAGTAAGGAAAAGAAATGCAAATAAATGCTTTTTTTTTTCTCTTTGAATCAGAGTCATGTGAATGGTTTTGTTTACAGCGTGGCCCAAGGACAGCTGCATCAGTACAACTGGAGGTGACATGAACTGCAGCATCAGAGACACAGCAAGCACTGGAGGATGTCCCAATGTTAAGTGATCTTGCTGTCAGCAAAAACCTGCTCTGGTACTGTATCCCAGTTGGACGGGTTTCACTGGGTATAGAAATATTTATTGAACTGTTCATTTGTTTGTTTGTTTTTAAGGATTAATATCTTGGGGGTTTTTGTTGTTTGGAATTTTTTTTTTGCTTGTGATAAAACATCTATCTGAGAAATAAGTCAGCTTTGTGGACAGCCAGTGGATGTCAATAAAGTCTTGGCAAACACAGTAGGTATTTATTCAGCCTTGCAAATTAGAAACATTTCTCCTGCTTGTTTTATGAAGGGAACAAAAAAAGACAAATTACATAGCGGATGAGCTCTCTTGATAGTTGGAATTCGTTAGTCTGGTGGTGAAAACGCTGGGGGATTTATGGTGCAGAAAAATAAAAGATGAAACAGCTTTTCACCAATAGCAGTGGTTTAAGTTCTCATTGAAAATTACTGGGGAAAAACCCTTTAAAGACATCTGTAGCTGACTTCACAGTCTCAATTACTGTCTTGGTAGGCAGTTCTTCCCTTCCTCACTGCTGTAAGTATTAATTGTTTTTTAAGCTGGCAAACAATTCCTTTATAGTTCCTCAGTCTTACTGCCGTGGGATATCTGCAGCAGCTCGTAAGTATACGTGGCCAAGTGTTGAGTAGGAAGTTCACACTGTTGCTTCCCATGCAATAGCCACTCTGTTAACAGAGGCTTTCTGCAAAGTTATCAATCTGTCATCTTCTCTTGGCTTCACATTTTATTAAAAAAAGGAATTTGAAAAGTTACAGTAAGTTGAACAATTTGTCAGACAAAAGTAACTTGAAGGCTATTGTCTCCGAATTGTAGGCTGACTCGGTCTTGCAGCCTGTCATGGATGGATCATAAAATTGTCATAGGTAAAAGCTTTAACAAAGTCCACTTAGGCAGCTCCTGTGATGGCAGAACATGGAAAGGAAGCAATATACTGAAAGACCTGGTAAGCCTTTGGCTGCAGCTAAATCACTCATAAGTCACTAGAATTATTCAACAGCAAAACAAAACCAGAGAAAACTCCAAACTTGCAGTGGTTTAATCTCTGGCGTAGCTTCACTTGTGTAAGTAATCTCACTGATGTCGGATAAGACCTTGTGAATTCTGTAATATTGAAGATCAACTGGTGATGCTTTATTTCCTCTGAAAGGATACAGAATAGTGTTAATTTGTAACTACAGAAACAATGAAATAGGAAGCTTGTCCATTTCTAGTTCTTATCTAAGTCTATTAACTCTGAGTTTGCTCTCTATATTTCCCAAGTTCTTGCTTTTCTACTAAGTAGAATCATCAGCGTGAAGGTGCTGTCTCCTCTGCTCCTCCTCTTCCTCTCCAGTTAAACAAAGAAATTACTGCTGGCAAATCTGGAAGGGACAGAAGTCCAACATCTAAAGATTCATTAAAAATGTAAAGGGTCTAATAGCTGAAGGATCTAATTAGGAGGCATCTTGGAGAAGTAGCATAGTTCTCTATCAGTAGTTCATTTGTTTTTCTAGTTTAGAAGTACAGTTCACAGCCCTAATGCAAGTGTCTCACTGTCTGTACTCTGGAAATGCACAGAGTTCTCACATGTTTTGAAAGATGCTTTCTTCAAAAGTACTGATGTGTTCAGTGGAAGAGTCAGTCCTTTGGTTGGTCTTACTGAGACAACATGGTCTGCACCCATTGTAGGAGTAGCAATAAATGCAGATACACACATGCTGAACCTCAACTGCAAATCCCTTATACATGGCACATGTAACTTCCCTCTGACCAGGGAAGATAACAGTTGTGAAGCTTTATTGCCTTCCTTGTCTCACAGATTGATGCCAAATTTGTTGAAGATTTTCTGGGAGGGGAGTGCTTAAGCTGTCCTGCTGACAGATATTCCCTGGGAACTGTCTGTGCTCATTTGAGATTCCTCTCTTCCATCTTCAGCCATATAGAAGCTCAGTTTCTAGGCTCAGCTAGTTGTTTAGCTTGTGACTGTGGTAAATGAAGAGTTACACACCTCTGGAGGTAATTAACGCGTGGAAATAGATGTAATTAATTACATTTCTGACATGATTTCCTGCTGCCTGAAGAGAACAATTTTAACACTACTTGGCTGTCCTCAAGAGACCGCGGATGGGTTCATCTCGGGTGATGTTTGTAATCGGCTGAAGTCAGCTTGCACAGAGCTGCCAGCAGCAGGCACAGAATGTGCAGGTATGACACTGCAGAAGGGAACAAGTACAGTCCTTAACTTCTTGAATTATACTGCAGCAGGGCAAAGTTTGAGGCTTTTTCATGCCTTGAGGAAATTGTTCAGTCCTGTCCACAGCGTTAAAGCATCAGCATTTCTTGCACCCGCCAGAACAGTGTTATTTTACAGCCACACGGGGCACAGCGGTTGCCTTCTGTCATCAGAACACGCTGTGCTGTTGTGCTGCTGTTGCTTCGGGTAATTTGTTCTCGCTGAAGCTCTGTGATGTGCCTATGGAGTGCTTCGCAGAATGTCACTGTGAGCGTGGCTGTGCCTCATCTGTGCAAACACTGGGAGTTGTTTGACTCGATTCCGTAGACGCGACTTGGGTTTGTTTGTTCTGCCAGCTGAGATGAGACGTTGAAGACAGGTTATAAAAAATACATCTGTTTGAAAAGATTAAATGGTTTAAAACACACTTGAGTAATAGAGTTCCAAGAAAAATCCTTGTGTCAGACTTCCTAGAAATTGTGGTGGAACCAGGTGGTAAGTGCCAGCACTGAGCAGTTAATTAACGCAGCCCTTACTTTAGCTTTGGGCACACACCTCTAGTGTTACAAATACCCACAAACGGTGGGACTGGTCCATCTTTGGGACCAGTCAGCATGTAGGGACTGATACACTGACTGTTTCACACGCTGTTATTTCTGCTACTGCTGCTAAAAATAATATGTTTCAGCATTTAGCAGGAGGCATTTCGCATGGTGTTTTGCTGTCACTAGAGGGAGTTCGCAGCAGTGCTTCTCTTACTGACGTCCTCGGTGATCTCTGTGCTGTGGGGAGACCTTGGCAGACACTGTGCGAGGACGACGGCAGTTCTGAAAGTAGGATGAGGGTCCTTCTTCCTTCGGTAAACCCTGGTATGTGTTGTAATCTGGATTAACAACATTCTTCAGGGTAATAGTGCTGTAAGCAGTTTTGTTTCTGTTGGTAGCGCTGTAATAGAAAACAAATGAGCATTCAGTGACTCAAAGCAGAATCAGGAAGTAAGAAAAAAGCATTGATTATTTAATAGGAAAAAACAAAGATGGAAAAAACCACCATGGATAGATATTCTTCTGATTTATTGTTACAGGAATAAGATCTTGGCTAGAAACAAGCTCCCTCAGGAAGCTGGTTTCATATGGTGGTTTAGATTTAACTATTTATTGTCTAGCACCATTTGAAATCAGTGTTCTTGGAGGAAGAATGCCTGCTGTGTTCGTCAGTGAAATGGATCCTCGGAAACACTGGTGGAGAAGAAGGTCAAGATCTTTGTGTGCTTCTGTTGCTAGACTTAGCTTCACCACTGGACAGACTCCTTAAGTAGGCTGTGACCTCAGAGTGCATGGCTCAGACAGCCCTTGGGAGAGCAGTGCAATATGTGATTTCAAAGGCAGAAATTCTGTTGTAATGGTGCTGGCCACGAGCATGTTTATAGTATTTGTAGGTGGTCAACCAGAACTTGGAAACAGAGAAGGACTTACGAGACATAAACATTGCAGAAAAGCATAATATGGAATTGTAACACAGCGTTGAAGACACTGATGTTAAAACTGCCCCTGTTGAATTACATTCTTACGGTATGGCGAGAAATGAGGAAGGGAGCCTCATTTGCTCTGCTTTCAGCCCGTTGTGGATGCCTTTTTGGGTTTTAGTTCTTTACTGCCTCTGTAAGTGTTTATACATACAGTGTGTGTATCATACATTACACTGAAAGTTCTGGATGCTGTCCACATCCAGATGCTGCATGGTTGCATTTTGATGTGGTATGCTTGACAGATTTGAATGTGTTTGTTTATTTTTTAGGTCTTTCAGAGTTCAGGTTACAAGTTGGTAGCTTAACGTGCTAGGTGTAGTCAGTGGAAATAACCAGCATCAGTATCTGTGAAAACTGAACCAAACATAGTAGAGCACATTGACTGAGGCTACTCTGTACAATTCCAAAGGAGTATGTAACTAAAGATTTTGAAAGTTTTCATCTTCTAAATCTTTGTCTGAAGTGTTTCAACTGTTCTTCTAGGGAATAATGCCACAGTGGTAACTAATGAATGTTTTCAAGTATTTGGGGATCCTCCAATGTAAAACACTGTTTAGTACCTAACTCTTCATCCTTGCAGATCTCAGTAACCCCTTTAGAGGATGACTGATTTCTTTTGGTGTTCAGAGTCAATAATATTTTCTAGCACCATTTGAAATCGGTTATAGTGATTGGGGAATTGCTCCTTGTGAATTTTATACAAGAGACTCCAAAGAGAATCTTTAATGCTGTTACCTAGGACTGAAAAAAAAGGACTGTAAAAATTATATTCAGAATGCTCTGGAAAGTCAAACAGTACTCAATGTGAAGATAAAGGGAGATTGTTTTTCCAGTGGGAATTATCAGTATGGACTCAAGATCAAGAAAATACATGCTGAGAAACACTGTTGGTTTAATGATCTAGCCAGGGGGTATAAGGAAATAAAAAGTCAGCAGCAGGAACCTTTCCAGTCTTCAGTTAGTGCACTCTGGACATTCTGAAAGACAGATCTTGTGCAAGATTTCATTGCTAACCTAAGAGCTTTTTGCCTTCTCCACTCTTACACTGCTAACAGCATAAGCCACAAAACTGAGTCATCTTCCCAAGGATGTTACTTACTGAAGTTTTCTCCAAGAATTGTGCTCTTCAGGGAAGCAGAACTGGCCAGAGATGCAGAGTCTGACTGTGGGTCATATCTTCAGTTGCAGAAGGAGCTCATTAGCCGTGAAGATAATTTCTGAAAAGCATTCCTCAACCAGAGTATCATACTCTCTGGGAGGTAGTAACACAGACTGCAGTACATCCCTCTAGCAGGGGATGTTTTCCTAGATTAACTGCTTAAAGCAGGAGTACCTTGCCTTTCCTGGTTCTTTTCTATGGGGAAACTGCAAAGTAGCAGCTGTAGACTGCAAACAAGTGGAGCAGCTGTTGAGGATTCAGAAACATTTGTAAGCTGGTAACTTGTTGGGAGCAGCACATTCACCCTTCGCCTTCCCTTGTGTTTGTTTGTTTAACTAAGAAGGCATCAAGTCATCACAACCTAAAAGAGGCTCAGTGTGGAAGGTACACGGCCTCTTTCTGGTCTCTTGCTTCAGTCCTTTTGTGAAATCCACTCCCATGATTTGTCTTGTTTAAACTCTCAGCAGTGGGTAGTGCTGTGTTTAGTTAGCCCTCAAGTTACCATAAAAACAATTAAAATACCGAGGGTGTCGAACAGCTAGTGGCATATCTTTTGCTCTGTGATGCCAAGAGCTGACACGTGCCTACATACATGGTTTTGGGAGTTCAGCAGATGTTCTTACAGAGCTTATAAATGATACAGGAAAAAAAAAAAATACTGCAGCCCTGAAGCGTGGATTACAAGGAATCAGTATGTTTTGAGTCTGTTTGGCGCAGAAGTAGCTCCCATACAGACCTTTGTTTAAATTATTTCTTGTGCAGAGTCCATCAACAAGGAGTTAAAGGTGTTCAGAGTTTAGTGGCTTGTAATGTGCTCGCCAAGGTGAGGTCTGAAAATGACAAAGTTTTTACACTTAAAGGAAACTTGCTTGGTGAAGCATGCAGGCATAAAATGCTTATCAGAGGGGAGAGTAGAAAATAAGACAAAATTGTATACTCTGATAGATTGTTCCCAAGTCTTTCAAAGCAGCTTGAGACTTCATAGCTAAAATAACCTGTGTTGAGGCAGCTGTCATGTCCTTAGTGCATGTTTCCAGTGTAGTAATGGGCTTCAGGGATACAAGCAGAAGAAATGCAGGTAGCGTGGGTTTTGCTGCAGGGTGATTCCAGCTGGGATGTTCACTAAGTATGGAACAGCAGAGATTGTTTCTTGTGCTGTAAAACGCAGTATTAAAGCTTAGCAAATTGAATATGCCAGGAGAGCAAATTCTCATTTTGGTAACACTAGCAAAAATGGAGTTACAATTTCTAGATATCTTTTCCGGTAAATCATGTCCAGAGAGGATAATGAAGCAATTTTTGGTTGCTTGTGTGCTTGCCTACCTGTCCTATTATCGGAGTTCATCTAACAGATGGCTTCTGCTCTGCAGTGCTACCCACCAGATACAAAGATGTTCTCCCCTGAGAAGGTTCAGAGATTTGGGATTCCAGACATAACACCTGGATTAGTTATCCACTTCTGTCTCAGCTGTTAACCAGGCGTGAGGACGTAACTAGATATCACCAGTAAATACAGTGGATTGCTCAGAAGTTACTCCGTAGCCTCTCTGGGCAGCCTGTTCCAGTGTTCTGTTACCCTCAAAATAAAGATTTCCTCGTGTTTGTATGGAACTCTTGTGTTCCAGTTTGGGCCTTTTACCCCTTATGCTGTCATTTGGCACCACCAGAAAGAGCCTGGCCACATCCTTTTGACATCTGCCCTTTAGAAAAGTTGATAAGATTCCCTTTCAGTCTTCTCTAGACTGAAGAATGCCAGGTCTCAGACTTCCCTCATAAGGGAGATGCTCCTCCAGACCCTTACCATCTTTGTAACACTCAGCTGGACTCTCTTCTCTGTCTTTCTTACTGAGGAGTCCAGAGCTGGATAAAGTATTCTAGAGATGGCCTCCCTCAAACAGAGTAGAAGGGAAGGAGAACATCCCTTGCTCTGCTGGCCACGCTCTTTTGAATTCAACCCATAATACCTTTGGCTTTCTTGGCCATAGAGGCACGCTGTTGACTCATGGGCAACCTGTTATACACCAGGACACTCAGGTTCTTCTCTGCAGAGCTCCTTTCCAGCAGATCGGCCTCTACCTTGTACTGATGCATGCAGTTATTCCTCCCCAGGTGCAAAACTCTGCACTTTGCCCGGTTCTCAGCCTGTACAGTCTTCTGGTGTGTCAGCTGCTCCTCCCAGCTTTGTATCATCAGTAAATTTTCTGAGGGTGCACTCTTTCCTTTCATCTAGCTTATTGATGAAGGTGTTGAACAAAACCAGATGCAGTTCCAGTCCCTGGGAAATGCTGTTAACTGCAGGCCTCCAACAAGACTTTGTGCTGCTTATCAGAACCTTCTGAGCTCTGCTTTTCAGTCAGTTCTCAGTCCACCTTCCTGTCAGTTTGTTTGTGCCACACTTACTAAGCTTACCTCCGAGGATGTTGTGGCAGTTATTCAGAAGTCTTGCGGGAGTCAAGGTAGACAAGATCCACTGCCAGTTGTGACACTTATGAAGGCTACCAGGTTGGTTAAGCACAGTTTCCCCATGGGGAACTTATAAGGACTGCTCTTTATCACATTCATTTCTTTCACTTGCTTGGAGATAATCTGCAAGGTAAAGTTATTCCACCATTTTCTCAGGGCTCAAGGTGAGGTTGACTGACCCAGAGTTTCCCAGCTTCATCCTTCCTGCCATTTCTGAAGACTGGTGTGACATTGGTTGTCCTCCAGTCTTCATGCACTTCTCCATATCTTTTCATAGATAATAGTTCCAGCAGTCACTTCTGCCTGCCCCCTCTGTGCTCATCGGTACATGCCCATAGATCTGTGTGTGTCGAGTTTGCCTAGGGAATCTCTGATGGGATCATCTCTTCCATTTGAGTTTTGACCTGTTCATCCATGCAGGTCTCCTGCTACTTTTACCTGATTTCTTACTCATAAGAATGCACTTGAGCTTGGAGAAAGTGCTGCTTGAATGTTAATTGACTCCTGGGCCCCTTTACCTTCCAATGCTCTAATCTGTAGGGTATCTCCAAGTACATCCTAGAGGATTTCAGAGTTGGCTCTCCTGAAGTCCAGTGTTGCAGTCCTACTTCTTACCTCCTGGACTGTGTGTGCCTGGCAGCTTTACTTTTACAGCAGACACTGGTGATTGAAGTCCTCCATGAAAGCTGATGCCTCTGATGAGGCTACTTCCAGCTGTTTGTAGAAGGCCTCATAGAATCACACAGACCGTCACCTTCCTCCTCCTCATCGGGTGGCCTGTATTACACGCACTGATCTCTAGTTCTTCCATTTTATTCCCTGTGCTGCATGTGTTGATATAGGCACACTTTGGAGAAGAAAAGGGAAGAGAGGATACAGGTTTCCCCAGGAGAATGCAAGAAGAATCTCTGTAGCTGTACACATCTGTGAGGTGACTGAAAGGCAGCTAAGGACTATATTAACCAGCCTGTTGCCAGAGATTCACTTGCATCTTCTAGGCAGAGGGCTTCCATTCCTCCATAAGAGATTATAATTCTCACGGAAAGTCTCATTGTCATAAAAACCAAAACTCCTGCGCTGACACCAGTCACATAGCCAGGAGTTGATATGCATTATACATCTATGGCTGCACTCTTTCCTCCAACTGGCAAAATTGAGGGAAAGGTAACTTGGGCACTGGTGTTTTTCACTTGTGCTCCCAGGTATATAAAGCCAGTTTCTCTTCATGTGTCAGGAGAGTTTTGTAATGATGTTGGCATAAAAAGCTGAGATGAGCCTTGGATTTCATGATTCACTATCATAAAAAGGAGAGGTAAGCCTTGGAATTGAAAGAATTTGAGTTGAAGTTGAGTATTTGGTGGTAGCAGTGTTCATCTGATTGCTGCAGAGGACAGATGTGTTCAGGCCTTATTTTCCAAAGGAATTAAAGCTCAGGTCCTGTATGTCTCACAGTTGGGGTCCCAGTCCATGCAGCCTGATATCTAAAGCAGGTTACCTGTTCTAAAAGCCGTTAGCACAGCCAAGTTACCTGGTCTCTTAATAACCTTTGGAGGACCACAGAATTTTTTTGGCTAGGTATTACTATTATTTAATATTGCTCATCTTTACTGTGGAACAAATGAGAAGAATGAGTGGCCTCCAATATAATTTGCCATTACCAGAAATTCCTTGCACCAATAGAATTGTGTACCAAAAGGTGCCAGGCTCCTTGCAGATCAGGACCTGCCTGAAATCACATCTGGGAAGATTTAAATTTACCTGAAAATTCACAGAAATAATGGTAGAGTATCAAATAATGATAGGCTATCAAATATACTGTTGTATAACAACTCTTCAGGCACTGCAGGAGAACTAAAGTCACAGCTAAAGGAAAATGCCTTGTTTTAGTGCAAGGAGATTTGCAGATTCCATTGTGCGAATCAGAATTCCAGTTGGAGAACTTCTGAGCAAAATACTGATTTAAATACGAAAACTAATGCTTTCTACTTGAGATTAGCCTGGACATTTTAAGACAGTTATGAATAATTGATACATGAACCATCCCACGAATGATCAG